TCTCTCTCTCTCTCTCTCTCTCTCTCTCTCTCTCTCATGGAATGACCGTGACCTTGTGTAATGAACCTTCTGATTCACAGATTCCATAATGAACCTTCTGATTTACACTACTCTGTTCACCACCTCCCCCCCCCCGTTGTTCAAGGTCTGGCGCACAGACTTTCTGTATCCCTCTCCCCGTCTCTGCTTCTCTCATACAGCGTTGCAATGAACTCTAGGTTGAAATCGTCATCCGTTATTGTTGTGTTGTGTGGCCCACTCCTGTGGACAGAGTGCATGCCAGCTCCAAATAACGCAGCAGCCGTCTCAGCAACAGATACGACACGGTCCAGCTTGAAGATCGAAAAACTCATGACTGTATCGCGGCTGCAGACAGATGATGCGATGTCCTGCTTTATAGAGACCAATTTTCCTATCTGCTCCGCCGCTCTGGTGGTCTTTGTTGTCTGCTCGATTTCACATTGCAGAACCATCTCGGCAAAAGCCAGTTGCTGCAGGGTCACACCAAGGTTTACGTCGTCCCTCCTCATCTGGAAAACCTTGGTGAGTGTCGTCTTGAAGGCTGGGGTGCCTCAAGGATCATTGCCGCTCTGTCTCCACGGTTTGTTCTCCTTCATCCCTGCTCGCATCTTGTTGCGAGTAGGGAGCTGGTGATCTGTTTGCTGTGATCGTACAAGCGGGATCCCTTTTTCAGCCCAGAATCAATGTTTCAGTTGCCATGTTATCTCTCCACGCACGGTTGTCATCATTCTGTTGCACTCCCCTATGACTGCTTGAATCCCGCACTCCGCTATGTGTGATCGCAGTCCTTCCTCCGCGTTCTCCCCTATCAGTTTGGTCGTTGTTTGCAGCGCCGTGAAAAATTCATCCTCTGTTGGGTACAGAGTTGCGTCCTTTGCTGCTGAGAACGCAAAGGCTTTTGAGACCGCCCGGAACAGTCTGTCCTTCATTTTCTTCGAGAATACGCCACTTTCTTGATTGCCTTGTTGCTGTCCTCCCCTGCTCGCGCACATTTTTCTTTGCGAGTTCGTGCCATCTGCTGGAAGACACACATTACAACGCACAAAATAATATTAAGAACTCGGCATTTCGCACCCATTTTCGCACCTGCCAAATTCGACAGCCCGTTTCAACTGTAATTTCATCACAGCGACATCCTCACATTAAGGAAATGTCATCACTTTGCGCCGTCACCACGTAATCGTTATGCAAGAGGAGCATCTTCAACACATTTTGTTTACCTTTTTTAACTGCGTTGTCGTGCCTCACTAGTTGTCTGTCAATGGAGGGCGCGTCGGCTGCGCCTCCCTCGCCGCCACTTTCGGGTTCCCTCGTGCGTCGCGTTCTTCCCGGAGATGGGGAACTCCCTCTTCCGTCTGCACTTCTGTCGTCTTTGCCTGCCCCGTCACCGCCCTCGTCCTGCGCTGTGTCGTCGCTGCTCCTGCCGTCCTCATCATCAGCGTCGTGAGTGTCGCGAGAATGTCCGTCGGAAGTTTCACTGTCACCTCCCTTGTCACTTGTTGCCTCGTTCTCCTCCCCGTCAGACTTTTCTGATATGGACTGGTCGTGTTCCTCTTCTGCTTCCTCTTGGGCCGCGCTGTGCATATCGTCTGAGGCTCTCAGATCGATCATCTCCACCATTCTGTCCTTTTTGTACGTGATTCTCTTCTTTGTCCTGAGGTGCACCTTCGACATTCCGTCTTCCCGCGACCTCTTCTCAGTGGCCTTGGGTGGACGGTTCTCGACGCCGCTGGCACGGTTCCGTGGGGCAGGAGTCGCAGGGGGTGACTCATTGCGTTCTTTCAGCTTTGAAATCCCCCTCTGACTTGATGAGAGAGAAACTTTTGATCCGTTTCTGCGGCTGCTGGTCAGCTCCGTTTTTGCATTATGGAATCCGCTTCTGCGATGCTCTATCCTTTCTTTTTTTTTATCAGCCTTGCATTTCTTCCTCCCCTTGTCCTTCTTTCCCACGACCTTTAAAGACCTGCACAGATCCTCGTATTTTGACTTTGGAGTCATGACCCTTTTTTCCCCACGTACATCAAAGTGGAATACGAACAACAATTGCGTCAGCAATGTCGTGCGTCGATCCATACACCCCTGAAGTGTAATGGCTGCATTGAGAGAGAGAGAGAGAGAGAGAGAGAGAGAGAGAGAGAGGCACAACCAAGATCTTATTGTTGATACTGCGACGACATTTAAGTTACCAACCTCTTTGTGCGTCTGAATGACTGTATCCGTATTGTCAAGCGGCACGGGTTCGCATAGTCACAATAACAAAAAAAACAAAAACAAAAAAAAACTTGGAACATGTCCCCGGCCATCAGCGAGAGAAGGTTGGCTACTGCGGGCCAATCAACTGGTGAAGCCTCCGGTCTTTATGTAACAAATGCCCGCAGTAGTGAACTTTCCTCGCATCGTCCTTTGACGAACTCAACGGTCAAGCCAACAGTCAATTCGTCGTCATCATTAATGTTAGTCTGCTCTTCTCTCGTTCTCGTCATGTCTCCGACTTTCGTTTTTCCCTTAGTGCTTCAATTATCAACTGGGAAGACTTTGCTTCACCCTCTGTCATTATATCGTACATTTCCGAGTACCAAGGGTCCCTCAACATTTTCTGCCACCTCTTTGCTGACCTCTCACTGGTCAATGACAACAATGGTTCGCTTGCCACCTCTCTACGATGTTGTTCGTCTTTATTTTCCATCCTTGGACCGATGACCGGTTCCGTACCCACATATGAGCACTTCGCGCCGCCACTACACGTGTTACTTTTTTGTGACTCTGTCATCCTCGCTCGGCTTCTCTTACCTGCACCCTGTTATTCAGTGTTCTGTGTCGCTCCTTCCCGAACGCTGCGCGACGTCGTAAGTTTTTGTTCCTGTTCACACGTGTCGGTCAAATTGGAATGACACAGACGATTTGTTAATTTTTTTAACAACTTCAAATCGTTTTTATGGGATACTTCGGAGAGAGAGAGAGAGAGAGAGAGAGAGAGAGAGAGAGAGAGAGAGAGGTTGGGTACTGCGTGCCAAAACTGAAACGACTATCATTGTTGACCACGTAAATGTCAGGCAGTAGTGAACTTTTGGGGACACTTTCGTCTCGCATGTGGTTTTCACCGCTTCATAAACTTGGTCACATTTGACATGATATTTCTCAACAAACAACGGAAAGAAAGAGACGAATATCCTCTCTTGTTCCCCTATACTTCGGAAGAAACAACATGACTGTCCCGTGGCGACGACGGATAGAAACACTCCTCTTAGCAAACATAAAAACTTAGTTTGCATTTGTTTTTTCTACAATATGTACTTGTTCAAATAAAAACAGTCCTCACGTTGTTTTGCATGCTGCTTCGATCCCCATTGTTGTTTTGGAGAAGCGTGAAACAATGTGAACTATGTCTACAATAGTGTTGGTCGAAACGACACTAATGTGTTGATGTCCATTCAACTTCTCCCATTTCAATTTCTTGCAACCTGTCATGTGTTGTCGTTCACTGTCGACCTCCTTGTACCATTGCACAAATCCGCAGTTGTGTTCTATATTACCGCTGTCCGCGGGTGCGTCCACGACAAAAAACATGGCTACTGATGCAAACCATGTGCATTCATTGCCTGCTCTAATTGTGACGTCACTGTGCACTGGTTTCCCATGGAACTGTGGTGACGCTCTTGCAGTTTGAACAAGTGTGCCCCTGTTTGTTCTGTCCTGTACGCAAGCGATGGCCAGGTGTGTCCGTGTGTGTATAAGCAGGTCGTCAGAAGGAGGTTGACAACTATTCTCCACCATGTATGTCGTAAGCGCAGCTCGAAAATCGTGTCTGCAAGGAAGCTCTTCGAGTATCTTACACGCATGGTTGTCAATGCCTTCTCCCTCGCGTATGTACTCGTCATTGATGTCGAACCACCGCAATTGCAACATTGTCGTGTCGCGTAGTGCGAGAGTGTTCATTCCGGTGGCCATACGGTCTGTCACGGACGACCGATTCTCAACCTTTCTCTTCCTCCGTTTCCTCACGATCCCGATCTCTTCACGCAATGCCAATGACCGGCGCACATGGTTTACCATCTGGGTTGAAATTTTCCGCTTGTTTGATGACAGGTATAGTTGTTTGCAGAATTTCCTGTGGTGATGCTCCCAAGCATCTGTCGCGAAGGTGTCAGGTACACCGGATCGCTCAATACACGTTGTCAGATGCATGAGATCGTGCAACTTGGAGAGTTTCCATGTTGATGGTTGTTTTTTTTCCAATTTTCCTTTGATGGTTGTTACGAAGTCCGTGATCAAAGCGTCGCATTCATCGAGTGAAGCACGACTATGTGTTGTACACCGAAACACTCGTATGTACATTTCCATCAGTTTCACAAAACAAACGGTAATGTCCTTGCTTGTCGAGCGCGGTATAATATTAGAAATAAGGAACACGCACACTGTCATCACAGACTGGTTTTGCTTCGCCTTGAACCGTCCCTCCCTCGAAAAAAAGTCGTTGTAAGTGGTCACCGGTAACACAAGTTGGGGGTATGTTCGCGTGCATCTCTCACTAACGCTTTGCAACCTTGTATCTAGTTCCTTCAAGATCTCTGTTTGCGGTAAGTGCGGCAACTTCTCAAAGGCTGCGGTCATGAATGCGTCAATCACGTGCAGGAATATGCCGTGCTTGATTGTGTGCATACGATCTGGTTGCAATGCCAGGTGGTAATCTAGCTGAGGATCGTCATCATTGCCCCTGTAGAACCCCCAAAGGTCGTTCTATTGAACATGCCTATGCATGTTCAACTCCGACATTCGTGCTTCCGCTGCACGGCGAACGTTGATGTCGTCGGCGGTGAGGACATCTGTTGTGAGGTGTGTTTCCAGCGTCTGTGATCTCCTGCAGTCTGTGAAATCGGCTATGACATCAAAATCGTTTTTGGACACGGTGTATGTCGGACATACACTAAACTTCACAGTTGCAATCGCACATCGTTCTGGGTAGTCCTGGATATAGTTGAGGAGGAAAGGGTGGACAGTTATGTCCCCGAATCGCGTTGTCGGTATTATTATTCCGTCATGAGATGCCTCCTTCGCAGACTGCAACACCACTGAAAGGGCCTTGTGCAAAATGATGGTCTTTCGCTTTCTGAATGCGGTGGACTGCAGACCCCATCCTTTGTCACGCGGACGATGATGAAGCACAGGAAGATAGGCCAGCAGTGTGGCTTCGGATGTGTGGTCGGCTAGTGGCATCATCAGAGGGTACGCCGTCTGTTTTTTACGACCGTCTGTATGTGTCTTGTCGGAATACAATGAAAGAGGGATAACATAACGTGGATTACCATTCCCGTCCACACCTTTGTCCGCTCGAATGATCGATTGGATGTGATAACTTAGCGCCCCGCTGCGTGGGCCGGATATACTGAGGTGCTCTGACGGCGGAGACACTTCTAGAGAAGACACCGTCTCGCATTTCTGTAATGCGATATGAAACATCGACAGAAATGTCGTTCGCCAATCGCGGTGCCACAAGATGGTGTGCGCATCCCGTGGCCAATCGTCACAACGTAGATCCAACTCTTTCCATCCAGCAGCGTCTGCTAGACTCCCTGCCCATGTCAAACACTCTCGACTATTACGATACGCGATGTCTCTCGTGCAGAATCTCGGGTCCGTGAGAAGTGACAAGAGAGCATCTATGTCGCTCTGCGACATACCGACGCCGCCCCTGGCGGAGAAAATCAATGCCGCCAGCTTGCGAGAGCTGTCAAAAGATTCGACAGGCTGCGGTTGCTGCTCTTCGAATATCCCGCCCTCCCCGTCTACATTCTCGGGGGCCCCGACGTCCTCGCTCTCATCGCTCACGAGATTCACTGCACCTATACTTGATGCTCCGGCGTCATCGATCACACTCATCTCCTGGCCATGTGTTCTTTCGTCCGCCACGGCCGGGCATGCCCTTGCACGATGTGAGTTCAAAGTTTGTAATGACATGAAAGGCCTACTACAGTCGCACACCCGTGGACCGCTGTCCATTTTCTGTGCACGCAGTCCATTCCAAAAACAAACAGAGCGGTGCGGACAGTGTTTTCATTAGCATTTTGTACTTTGGTTCAGGTCGTTAAAATTATAAGTTGCAGAGCATATTTTGTTATATTGTGTAAGTGTCGCACATCCTCGTCTCTGTGAGAAAGAGATAGAGAGGGAGTACTGATTACCGGTTTTGGTACGAATGGTCTGTGTCGCTGATCCCAATTGACAAAGATTAGTAGTCAACCATGCGACACGATAATTTATATGCCATGACAGGTTTTATGGTCATGTAGGAAGAGGCAACGACTTACGCATGGTACACGATATATGACACAACATTTATCACCACGTTTGTGCGGCTGACCAAATTTGTAACTATCAATCCACAACGTTTGTGAATGTGGCATGTGTTTTCTATGTCCTCGTGAAAATGATTGCACCTCGGCACCTCAGCCGACCTCCGCACAAACTTCTAAAACATTTCACAACCTACTACATTTGAATTTAAATTACAGAGAATGCAAAAAAAAACACAACATACACACATTGGTCATCACAGGGGGTCTCATGTGTCTCACGTACTCCAAAAGGCAACAAATTATGACATACATCGTAACAATTATCAAACGATTGAAATATTGTTCAATCCTGTGTCTGCACGTTGTAGTGAGCCACATGTACTTGGAGAGGCAAACAATAGGCAACATTAAATGTAACCCGCAGATGGATGTAGAGGTTCTAATACAGCTACAACTCGACATATGAGAAAGAGAGAGAAAGATATATATATATATATATAGAGAGAGAGAGAGGAGGTTTACTAGTGCGGGTCAAAACGACAACAAACAGCACCGGTGGACACTGATATGGCTCGCAGTAGTGAACCCTACCGTCGTTGAAATTGAGGCAGACATAGAGGGATGTACAGGTTGAGGGATGCATGTCTGTCATCACCCCTAATGTCTAACATGGTGTGTCGTGGTGTGTGGGTGTCTCTCCAGTCGCTACCGTGACCGAGCACTAACTATTGCGTCTCCTGTTGACAAGCGGGGTGCAATGTCTCCCCCCAAGCTGTTGCCATTGCGCCGTGTATGAGGCAACTCAGGTTGACTCCCCATGTCAGTGACGTTGCTAGCACATCCTCTCTGTTGACCAGAACAAACCATCCCTTGCCAACACGTGAACATTTTTTCCCCTTGTTGCATGATTTCATTATGCTGGTCACTGCGACATAATGTAGTGCACCATCTGGTGTTGTCCCCTTCATCACAACACGCAGCACTTTGTGCGGATCGGGAAAAACACGTGCCAACCTCAGAATTGCATATGCCCATCCTTCTGTCACTTGTCCACCCGCAGCCTTCAAATCATAGTATACATCATGTTCCTCGTCTTTCTCGTCACTGCTGACATCGCTGCCCCTCACTTCCACGTCAGAAGATGATGCCCCCTCATCCTCTTCTCCATCTTCTTCTTCTGCACTGTCTGTGTACTCTTGGAAAACCGGCCTCTTCAAATTCACGATCACACTGTTCTTTCTCCATTGTGAAAGCATTGAAGACATCGCAACACACTAGCTCCTCTCTCGTTGTTGTCTGCATGGGAGGCACATCGACTACCATACTGGTTATTGATTCTTGTGCTGTTGATGTCTGTCCGTTGCCTGAAATGATTGCTAAATTTGTTTTCGTGGTCATCACCTTCCACCCTTCTTCTCTTTCTCTTTGTCTCTCAACATCGCAGCTTGCAAGACCGAGCCGCTCCAAAGCAGCTGATAACAACTCCTCCCACAACGGTCTGCCAGATATGATATTGTCTTCTGTTATTGCTGACACAAATTCTATCAGATCATGACCCTGCAGTGCAAACTCTGTCACTTCGTGCAACGCCTCATGGATGACGTTCCTGTCGTCGTCACTCTTTTTCATGAAGTCCACAAGTTGATCCAGCAGAATATATTCCACACCATCTGCGACAATGACAGGAACATCTTGAAAGTCTTTTGGCGGTGTTTGTGTAATGTCCTTCATTCTGGACAACACCAATATTTCTGCAGCACCACTCTTCAACTCGTCCTTCGACCCATCAACCAGCATTCCCCGATTCCGTGCGACAGTGCCCTGCAACTTGCACAAGTTCACAGGTGTATATGCCCCCCTGTCTGCTGCATTGTCATGTCCACGTCTCCTTTTTCGCACATCCCTTCGCTGCAGATCCACTGGACCATTCCTTTTAGACTGTATGCACGGTCTTCCACATCGCCGTCCACACGTACATGTGGTGACTCTCTGAAGCGTTGCAAGAGTGTTCGTGCTTTGACACATTCCTCGCCGTTTGCCATGATTATGGATCTCATATCCACATCGACTATGAAGTACCTCGGCACCCTGTCCTGAAGCAAAGACAACTCGCTATCACCGTTGTAGTGGACGCCCTCCTTTGCATACTTCATTACCTCTGCAAGAGCAGCCTCCACATGTGCTACTGACATCGACATGATGCGTACGGTTTGTCTTTCGTCCTCTTCTCTCTGCCAGCGGAAACGCACAATGACGTCATCGACATTTGTGTGTGTGTGTGTGTGTGTGTGTGTGTGTGTGTGTGTGTGTGTGTGTGTGGCGTCTATGTATGAACCTATGTGGATGTTTGTGTGTCTTTGTGTATATGTCTATGGATGTGTGTGTATGAATGGTCTGTGCGTGTGTCTGCGTGTCTGTTCCCAAGTTGGCTACTGCGTGCCATTCGAAGTCACAACGGTAATCATTCGTCAGTTTCTGGCACGTAGTAGCCAACTTTAAGGGTGCATGCCAGAATGTGTGTGTGTGTGTGTGTGTGTGTGTGTGTGTGTATGTGTGTGTGTCTTTCTGTATATGCATGTGTCTGTGTGCATTTGTTATGAGTGTTTGCTTGTGCATGTGTTAGCGTGTCCGACTTCAGGTTGGCTACTGCGTGCCATTTGAAGTCAAAACGGTAGTCATTCGTCAGTTTCTGGCACGTAGTAGCCAACTTTAAGGGTGCATGCCAGAATGTGTGTGTGTGTGTGTGTGTGTGTGTGTGTGTGTGTGTGTGTGTGTGTGTGTGT